TATGGTTCAAAGATATAAATATTCAAGTCACAGTAAAGGAAATCCAAAAAAAAAAAAAAAAAAAAAAAAAAAAAAAACACAACTCAGCAACAAAGACCTTTCCAAGGGTTTGGAAAACTGTGGTGTGTTATACAATGATGGATAATCTGGTGGGGTGCTTCAGGCATGTTTCATCCAGCACCTTCTACCTTGTGGCCTGGCTTAAACACAGCTTTCTCAGAGGGTGTTCCCTTCCTGCCCTCTTAAGAGTTCCTTGAAGGAGGTGTCCCACAAAAACAAGGGAGCAAACCAAGGGAGAGGGAATAAAAGAGAGATGGGAAACTGGGGATTCAATGCAGGAGCAAGAAGGAAGGTTTGAGGAGTCTGGCTTTGCGGCTGGACAAGGAACTGGGGGCTCTGGAAGAGCTGTCTCCAGAGGAAAGCAGACTGATGGATTCTCTGATCGATTTGGCCATGTGGAAAATTGCACTGTGTGTTTTACAAAGCATTTAGAAGTTGTAGGAAGACTTTGCCAGATAGCCAAAGGAAACTAAACAAATAAAAAATGCAGCATTTATTAATGCAAGGAAAAACAAAAAACTGCACAAGGCAGAAGTTCAATAATAATAATTTATTCAGCTCAACAGTAAATAATATTTACATATTCTCTATAAGGAAAATAGGAAGTGTACTTCAATATATTAAAAATATATATTGTATACTATGTAAAAGGAATGGAAGACATAGAGTGAGTGAGACCTGAAATCCTGATCTACTAAAGTAGAAAGACAATTCATAGTCTCAAAAATGATCAAGATACACTAGAATGGAAACATTGTCTTTTAAATGCTGGTAAATACAACAAGAAACAAGGAGCTGACAATGGCTGCCTCAGAGAAGAGGAGTCAGAGAGGGAGGAGGAAAGGACTAGGAGGCTGCTTATTTTCCTTTCTTTTAATACTATTTGGCTCTTTATACTAAATGCACATATTCCCCTGAGAAGAATATAAGAGAAGTTTTAAGAAAAAAGAAAGAAAGTCGAGCACAGTGGCTCACGCCTGTAATCCCAGCACTTTGGGAGGCCAAGATGAGCAGAGCACTTGAGACCAGCCTGGCCAACATAGTGAAATCCCAACACTACTAAAAATACAAAAATTAGCTGGACATCATGGTGCACGCCTGTAGTCCCAGCTAGTTGGGAGGCTGAGGCAGGAGAATTGCTTGAACCCGGGAGGCAGAGGTTGCAGTGAGCTGAGATCACACCATTGCTCTCCAGCCTGTGTGACACGGCGAGACTCCGTCTCAAAACAAAAGGAAGGAAGGAAGGAAGAAAGAAGGGAGGGAGGGAGGAAGGAAGGGAGGGAGGGAGGGAGGGAGGAAGGAAATAATGTACATGGACTGCCCGGCACTTATTAGGTGTTCAAAAAAGATGTCAGTTTCCTTATTTCTTTCTTTAATTCTTCTAAATCTTTTTTCACTTTGGCTTACAATCTGCAAGAGCTCAGTGTGGGGAGATCCCAGGTGTATTCGCTGCTGGGTGATATTGACCTTTGTGTATGCCCGAGCTTTATTCCTCCATGCTGTGGACCCCAGTTTCTCACAGGAGGCAGACAGACAGGGGGCTTCACCCACCTGAGGCAGGGAGTTCCAGGTGCCCTAGCGGGTTGGACGCATAAGGTCTGAGTCCTGGCCAAGGGAAAGTGAAAGGACATTCTGCCCATAGGGTATAAGCCCCAGTTCCTGTGTCAGCGATTAGGAATGGGCTGCCTGCGTTCAAGTCCTGGATCTGCCATTTACAAAGTGTGGGAGCTCAGATAGGTCATTTAGCTTCTTTGTGCCTCAGTTTCCTCATGTATAAAATGATAGATGGTAGTATGAATCTTATGAGATGGTTATGAAGATCAAAAGGGATACTGCATGTAAAGTACTTAGAACAGTGCATGGCTCAGTAACAGCGTGGTTTTTAAAAGGTCCACTTGTATTATTCACTCATCTATCCTGCAGGCATTAATTGAGTAGCTGCCACGAGCTGTCATCATGCAGAGCTGCGGAGATACCAGATCATCACTACACTCTCTGTCCTTACGTAGCTCACCTCTAGGGGAAAAGGCAGCCCCTCAAACAGGTTGCTGGGATCGTTGGGTGGAAGCCATGAGGGAGTTGTCTAAGGTATTTGGAAGCACTGGGAACGGAGACATTATATAATACAGGACTTTTGGAGAGACAGGGTGAAACTAGGTCCCTCAGGAGGCCTCAAACTGGCCACCACAAGATCAGGGTAACCCTACTATAGCAGCTGGAGAAATTCACCAGGAATGAGTCTCCAACTTGCCCTGAGCCTTGAATGCTGCACCCTGTGTGATCCTCACTGCCAAGGGCTCCTGAGCAAGCGAGTGGGCAGTGTTGACCTGAATCTTTGGTTGCCCCCAGGGATGGAGAGAGGCTGGGTCAGAGTGAGAGAGTTTGGCTCCCTCTTGCAAAGCCAGGCTTCAACCTCTCCATCCCCATTTCCCTAGGGATAAAAATGTCACCAGTTGGTGTTCTCTGAGCCTTGCAGCAAGGGAAAAAGGAGGAAGGTATCAGAGAATTTGAAAAGTATGAGGCTTTTCTGTTTTATTAAATAGTTTTGCAGCAAGGGAAAGAGGAGGAAGGTATCAGAGAATTTGAAAAGTATGAGGCTTTTCTGTTTTATTAAATAAACTCGCAACTAGGCATGGTGGCTCACGCCTGTAATCCCAGAACTTTGGGAGGCCAAGACAGGAGGATCACTTGAGGCCAGGAGTTTGAGGTTAGCCTGGGCAACATAGAGAGAACCAAGCTCTACAAAAAAAATTAGCCAGGTGTAGTGGCGAGCATCTGTGGTCTCAGCTACTGAAGAGGCTGAGGTAGGAGGATCACTTGGACCTGGGAGGTCAAGGCTGCTGTGAGCCATGATTGTGCCGCTGCACTCCAGCTGGGCAACAGAGTGAGACCCTATCTCAAAAAAAAAGAAAAAGAAACTCACCACAGAATGACTGAGTTTCCCCTGGAAGGAGTGAGACCAGTTCCCTATTGCTATCCCCAGTGACAGGTGGCAGAGACAGGCTGAGGAAAGCCTCCATATGATCCGCTGGGTTCAGGAGGCCAACTGGGCTCCAAGATGGTTGAGTTCTTCCCTCACAGGAGCCTCATGCATTTGGTGAAATCCCAGAGGACATTTGGTGAAATGTCCACTGCATGAGTGAGTGGAAAGGGCTTGGGCCCCGGACTCCACTGCTCATGGGTCACGATCCTGCCTCTTCCATCACCTGTCTGCAGGCAGGTCCCCTGGCCTTCTGGCCCCAGTTTCCTGCTCTGTTAAAAAAGATGGCAGCGGGGGTGGGTGCCTGGGCGTGGTGGCTCATACCTGTAATCCCAACACTTCAGGAGGCTGAGGCGGGAGGATTGCTTGAGCTCAGGAGTTTGAGACCAGCTGGGCAACATAGCGAGACTCTCCCTCTCCATATATATATAAAAAAAGAGTTAAAAAAAATGGGGGGATAATACTTTCTGTATCTTTTTCTGTGTGACCCTGGGAAACCAAATCATCTCTCCAATGCCCATCTCTCATTTCCTCATCTAAAACCTGGGGATGTATATTAACTGGAACTCTCCTAACTGAAAAACAAAAAGCAAAACAGAAACTATATTAGTTTCCTATTGCTGCTGTAACAAACTAGCACAAGCCTGGTGGCTTAAAACAACACAGATTTATTATCCGACAATTCTGGAGGTCAGAAATCCAAAAATCATGGAATTGGCAGGGCTGGTTCCTTCTCAAGGCTGCAGAGGAGAATCTGCATCCTCACCTTTTCCAGCTTCTAGAGGCCACCCGAGTTCCTTGGCTTCTGGTCCCTTCCTGCATTATTAAAGCCGAAAGCGTAGCAGCTTCAAATCTCGTGCTCTCTCTCCCGCTCCCTCTCTCTCCCTCTTTCTCTCTCTCTGACCTCTGCTTCCACCATCAACTCTTTTCTCACTGAGCTTCCTACAGCCTTCTTATAAAGACTCTTGTGATTGAGGCCCACCCAGATATTTCAGGATAATCTCCCATCTAAGATCCTTAATCACATCTGCAAAGTCCCTTTGACCGCGTAAGGTAACACACTCAGTTTTCAGACATGGACATCTTAGGGGTTGTTTTTGTGCCTCTCACAGAAACCAACTTGCAGGCAGTGAAGAGACACTTATTAAAGTTTACCCAGCTGCTCACAGAACTTGCTTTGGGTGTTCGTCACACAGTGGGACTTCAGTAAATAAATGTTTGTTGAGTGAAAGCATAAATGAACCAAAAATAAAAAGTAGGGAAAGAAAGAATGAATGAATATGAACCCAAGGACAGAGACACGGCCAGTTCTCAGGACCAAACAAGAGCAGGAACTGAAAAGCTGTAGGGATCCTTCACCCCTCCTCATGTCATTTCTGCTCTGCTCTGCTCTGCACACCAGCCCTGGGCTTCCTCCACAGATGGCCGCCTCCACCTCACTGGTCCTGCAGCAGATGTCAGGACCAGTTACATGTTACCTTAGTGCTCCTGAGTATGGTAAATTTGGAGCCACAGAGTCAGTATCTGCCTGTCAGTCTCTTTTGCTCTATCCCCCACCTCTTCATATCAAATTTGCATTAAAGGAACTCTGATTGTCCCAGGTTTAGAAGAGGTATCCACTCTCGCCCAATCAGCTGTGGAAGGGGGTGGGTTCACCTGGTACAAAATGGCTGCTGTGGCCAGGCTATTGCTACAGCATTCTCTGTAGCCTGATAAGCCCTTCATGGGAGAGAGCAAGCGTTCAGAGCATCCTGGCTCAGAAGAGTTTGGCAAAGGAGTCAGGTCTCCCACCCTTGTGCCTACTTTCATGCCTTCTTGTCCCCACTTTTTCCCACAGGCCACAGAGGAACGCTTGAAGAAGGAATCCAGCCACAGCCTCCAGATCCAACACCAGGCACACCGGCTGGAGCTCCAGGCCTTGGAGGAAAAGGCCAGGCAAGAGCTGCAGGAGGAGCGTGAGAGGATGCAAGCACAGCAGGCCCTGCTGCTAGGTATACACCCAACAGTGCACCAAGGAGGGCCTGGCCAGCTGCAGGGTCTGCACGTAGAAACCAGCGACAAGCTGAGGGCCAGGGCTCCTGGGCTCTCTGACTCACAGGCCAGGGCTCCTGGGCTCTTGGACTCACAGGCCAGGGCTCCAGGGGTCCCGGGTTCACAGGCCAGGGCTCCAGGGCTCTCGGACTCACAGGCCAGGGCTCCAGGAATCTCGGGCGCACAGGTCAGGGCTCCAGCATTCTCGGGCACGCAGGTCAGGGACAATCCTGGCTCTGCCACCAACTAGCTGTGAACCCTGGGATGGCTTACTATGAGCTTCATTTTCCTTTTGTATAAAATGGAATTACAATTGTCCCTACCACATAGGCTCACTGTGTGGATTACATGAGATATTAAATATAAAGTGCCTAGCATATAACATGAGCCCAGTGAATGTAGATACTATCATTATCATTATTATTGCATGTAACCCAGATCTCTGCACCTTCATATGAGTTTCATGGCATTGCCTTAACCTCTCATTTCTGTTCTGAAGATTTCGGCAAGTTGGGGGATCTTAGGCCTCCAGGCTCTGCTTCCTCTGCCTGCCCCCACATCATCCCCAGCTTAAAACTCTGCCCCTTTTCAGTTGCCACATCAATAAAACCACTCACACAAAGCATCCTGGAAGTCAACAGAGGTAGTTAAGATCTTTAGAGCCAAACTGCCTGGGTGTGAAGCTCAGCTCTAACATTCACTGGCTGTGTGACTTCGGGCAGGAAGTTGCTTAACTGCTCTGTGCCTCAGTCTTCCATGTATAAAATGAGGATAATAATAGCATTCACCTCACTGGGCCGTAATGATGATTACATAAGTAAATACATGAGAAGTGCTTCAAATAGAGCCTGGTATATAGTAAGTCTATGTAAGTGTTCCCTGTTAAATTATGACTGAATATTTCTTTTCTTTTCTTTTTTTGAGACGGAGTCTCGCTCTGTCACCCAGGCTGGAGTGCTGTGGCGCGATCTTGGCTCACTGCAGGCTCCGTCTCCCAGGTTAACACTATTCTCCTGCCTCAGCCTCCTGAGTAGCTGGGACTACAGGCACCTGCCACAATGCCTGGCTAATTTTTTTGTATTTTTTTAGTAGAGATGGGATTTCACCATGTTAGCCAGGATGGTCTCGATCTCCTGACCTTGTGATCCGCCCTCCTCGGCCTCCCAAAGTGCTGGGATTACAGGCGTGAGCCACCACACCTGGCCATGACTGAATATTTCAATGTTGCATGCCTGATTCTGGAGACCTCTGTCATTTTTGTAGATCATCCCTGTCACTCATTTTCTCCTGTACTCTTACATTTCTCCTCACTCTTAAGAGCAAGACAAATACCTCTCACCATTTCATGCTAAGCACTAAAGATCTTGTTGGCTTTATTAAATATTTCTTCCAAACCTAGACAGGGCTCTCCTTAAGAGATTTCTGAGTGCTGAGTGTGGTGGCTCATGCCTGTAGTCTCAGTACTTTGGGAGGCCAAGGTGAGAGAGGATCACTTGAGGTCAGTAGTTCAAGACCAGCCTGGACAACAGAGCAAGACCCCATCTCTACAAAAAAAAAAATTAATTAGGAAAAAAAGTAAAAAGAGAATTCTGGAGGACAACATTTTCTTTACCTCCGTAAGTGAGTTAGGCTCTACCTTGCTGCTTGTTTGAGTTCTCATTAGAAAGCGTGTCCCACTGACTGCATGTTTCTGAGGAAGTGGTGTGAGAAGCAGGAAGGAGTTTCATAGACTTCCCAGTTAGCAGCTACCCTGGAATGGAGGCATCCACATGGGAAGTGCTAAAGTCAGTAGCATGTAAACATAGAATCCAGGCTGTGCCACATGGCTCAGGTCCAAGGCTCCCCATGTACAGGTCAGGCTGGACACCCTGGTGATTCCAACACCCAGCAGCAGCTGCCAGTGCAGATGTCCCTGCCACCCCTTCCCTGGCTTTTCTGACTCCACAGCAGCCCTGTTCTTCCCTGAAGAAAAGAATCAGGAGGGATCCCTGGAAAGACCCTGCGGAAAGGCTGGGCTTCTCAGCACCAGTCCCAAGAAGAAGGGGCTCTGTGGACTCTGTGAGGCCAAAAAATCATAGTCTTCAAGGGAAGGCACGAGCACCTAGAGCAATGGCAGGTTGATATGAGATATTCCTGAAGCTGATTATTCATCTTCTGATATCTGTGTGAGACACAACTGACCTGCAATACCATAGGTCCCTGTGAGAGGGCAGGGAGGGTGGGTGTTTACTAGAGGGTTGGAACCCAGACATGCTGGATGGATGGATGGATGGATGGATGGATGGATGGATGGATGGATGGATGGATGGACGGACGGACGGACAAGTGGATGGGGGTGTGGGTGAATGGGTGGTTGGGCAGACAGGTGGATGGACAGAAAAATGGGTCAATGGATGGACAGGAGGAAGGATGGGTGGATGGATGGACAGATAGATGGAGATGTATGGATGGGCAGATGGGTGGGCGGACAAATGGGTGGACACACAGATGGATGGGCAGATGATTGGGTGAGCAACCGATGGGTGGATCGGTGGATGGATGAATGGATGGACAGATGGGTAGACAGACAGATAGGTGGACAGACAGATAGGTGGGTGGATGGATAGGTGGATGGATGGATGAGTAAATGGATGGATGGATGGATGGATGAATGGTTAGATAAGTGGACGGGTGGATGGATGGATGGGTGGATGGATGGATGGACAGGTGGACAGAGGGATGGATGTATGGATGGATAGATGGATAGGTAGATGGATGGATAGATGAATGGTGAGAAGGTATGAGAGGAGGAGGAGGGTAAAGAATGAATATCTTATAATTTATGATTTGGTAAAAAGTTTTATTGCATATATCTTGTGATAACAGTTTTCAAAAAATGGGGTTGTGTTTGGAGAATTTTTTTTAAGAAAATAAGCTATAGAAATCACTTTATCAAAATTCTGCTGGAAAGGAAAGATGACCAAGTACATTTTTCATCTTTTTTTTTTTTTTTTTTTTGAGACAACATCTCGCTTTGTCACCGAGGCTGGAGTACAGTGGTGCAATCTCAGCTCACTGCAAGCTCCACCTCCCGGGTTCATGCCATTCTCCTCCCTCAGCCTCCCAAATAGCTGGGACTACAGGCGCCCGCCACCACGCCTGGGTAATTTTTTGTATTTTTAGTGGAGACGGGGTTTCACCACGTTAGCCAGGATGGTCTCAATCTCCTGACCTTGTGATCCACCCACCTCAGTCTCCCAAAGTGCTGGGATTACAGGCGTGAGCCACCATGCCCGGCCAATTTTTCATCTTAATATCATCCAAATACACTACGCTTTTGCACGTGTTTAATATAGTTAATCTTTGAGGGCAGGTTAGTAAGCTTATAGGAAAGCTTTTATAACTAATACACTTTTATCACCTCATCCATTTTCACTCTAAAGATCGTTTATTTTACAAATACATGTTGAGCACTTGCTCTGTACTAAAACCTGTGCTAGATGCTCATGGAATGATCAGAACAATGTTTCAAAGGTTATTTTCAATAACTAAAATACAGAGTCTCAAAAGCTCATTACAGAAAAGTAAAGTATCAAATTTACAAGCACTTAAAAAGTATCTTTTTTAAAAGGAATATCTCACTAAATAGCATCTGCTCTATCAGAAAATATTCATTTTGAAATAATTGTTTCAATCATGCTGGGAAGTGTCTAGTGTACTAGAAATCAGTCTCCATTCTCAGAGGGGAAGCTCAAGTTTCTGGTCTTACTCTCCCCTGAGTTTAAGAGAATGTACACATTTCTTCTGGATGATTACATTTTAGTTCCTGTTCTGCTGGGATGACATGCCATCTCCTGCCTCCATGATCCAGCCAAGACCCCACACCCGTGGGAAGAAGAACCTGTGAACATTTTGTCTTTTTAAGAGTTGACATTGACTGGGTACGGTAATCCCAGCACTTTGGGAGGCCAATGTGGGTGGATCACTTGAGGTCAGGAGTTCGAGACCAGCCTGGCCAAAATGGTGAACTCCCATCTCTACTAAAAAAATTCAAAAATTAGCCAGGCGTGATGGTGCGTGCCTGGTCCCAGCTACTCGGGAGCCTGAGGCAGGAGAATCGCTTGAACCCAGGAGGTGGAGGCTGCAGTGAGCCAAGATCATGCCACTGCATTCTAGCCTGGGCAACAAAGCGAGACTCCATCTCAAAAAAAAAAAAAAAAAAGAGTTGATATAAATTTCAAACTTTCCAACTTGAGACCATCACCCCCAGAAAAGGCCTTTGGGTCATTTGATAATTGCCTGTTCTTTGCGTGGTCTCCTAACTTGATGCTGAGGCCAAGCGTTGTCACAGGATTTGGCCCTGGGCTCAGGCCATGCTGCCCTCACCTGCCACCCATCCTAACCAACCAGTAGAGGGCAAGCAGGGAGTTCAGAGTGAAGAACCACTTGAAATTTTGCATCCCAACTCCACCATTTAATAGCTGTGTGGCTTTGAGCATTGTACTCACCCTCTCTGATGCTCAGGTCCCTCATCCTAAAGTGAAGCAGGGGTGGGGAGAGGGGGATAATTCATACCAGAAAAGATGGTTGTGGACTTAAATGAGAACAGTTTTCACACATGGCCCTGTTGTTACTGTTATCTTGGAAAAGGTTTGGGGAACTCAACCCACCACAAGCCTTCAGCAGCCCCTCACTTCATCCACCGCCCCCCACCCCAGAGACTGTTATCCCCACCAGACAGGCTTCAGCCTAGACCCAGCACCTAACTCCCTACTGCTCTCCCTTTTCCAGAGTCCCTTAGGCAGGAGCTGTCGGAGCAGCAAGCTGCCTGCTCTGGGCACCAGAAGGACTTGGAGGCACTGCAGGCCGAGCTGAGGGCTCTGGGCAGACAGCAAGCCAGCAGCCAGTGTCCAGGAGACAGCGAAGACCACATCATCACCACAGAGGTCAGCACCCCTGCCCTTGCACCAGCCACACCCCTCCCAGAGCAGCATCAGGGCCTCAGTGAGAAGCTCCATAAAGGATGGGCTCTGAGGCCGCGTGCAGTGGCTCACACTTGGAATCCAGCACTTTGGGAGGCCAAAGCCAGAGGACCACTTGAGGCCAGGATTTCAAGACCAGCCAGGGCAACATAGCAAGAGTATATCTCTACAAAAAAATCAAAAATTAGCTGGGCATGGTGGCATATGCCTGTAATCCTGGCTTGGGAGTCTGAGGCAGGAGGATCACTTGAGCTCAGGAGTTCCAGGCTGTAGTGAGCTATGACTGTGCCACCGCACTCCAGCCTGGGCAACACAGCAAGACACTGTCTCAAAAAAAAAAAAAAAAAAAAAAAGGATGAGCTCTGGGTACTCAGTCATTCCCCTGCCCCCTGCCCCCTGCCTGAAGTGGGGAAGACCCTTCTCCACAGGCCTGTGGGATACTTGGTGGGCCTGCAGGGTCTTGTCTTTGAAAAGAAAAACAAAAATGGTCTTAAGCGCTGCATGTTATTTATAGTTCAGATGCAATGGTATCTCAGGGTGTTGGTGCTAGCCAGGCCCTCGGTGCAGCTGGTCTGGGCTACTCCTTTGGATCTGCAGGGGAATTTCTCAGAACATTTTCCCAGATAGGCTCTGTCTAGACCTTGCTGTTCCCCTAAGCGGAGCAGCTTTGTTGTCACCCAGACTCAGTGCCGGCTCTCCTTCCTCTTCCTGCTCAGACTTTGCCCATCAGCCCCTTCCCTGCACATCCATCATTCCTGGTCTAACTGGGTGGCACAGTCACCTCCTAACAGCCCAGTCCTCTCTCCCTCCAGTCCATAGTGTATGGCTTCAGGTATTCCCCCAAAGCCCAGCATCACTTTTCATAAAGCCTTTGGTGGTTCCCACTGGGGAAAGCTCCAAATGCTTCGACTTGGCATTGAAAAGCTTCCACCACTGACTATGACCTGTATGTCCTGCCATATTCCCTGTGGCTCATAAACCTGGCATCTGCACCCTCCCTTCATCCTTCGCTTGTGCCACTCCTCCTGCCTGGGATGCTGCCCAGCATGTCCCATGCTGGGGGCCTTCCCTGGCACACAGTGGCCCCCTCTGGCTCTGAGATCCTGGAGCACTTGCTGTTAAGACAGCTCAGCTGACTTTAGGATCTACCACCTGGTCCTGTTGGGGACATGCCATTTCATGGACGTCTTTGTTGCCTAGACTGGATCAGAGTCTTGTGAGGATAACCCATCTGTTCTGCCTCATCGCCGCCCCACCCCCACTCCCAGCCCTCAGCAGGGTCTCCACCAGTGCCTGTGGATGGTGAGGATTCGTTGGTGGCCCAGTCCTGCTGAAGGTCCCGGGGACATGGGAATCATGTGTGCCAGATTTAGCTGTTGCTGAGCATAGGAAGGCGATTTCTATGTTTATATGAAAAATACTAACAAATGATGAATCACAGGTTAGCCCAGTGGTTAGGTCTAGCAAAGCGAAGACAGAACGTGTTCCATTAAGTGTTTAGATGGGTGGGAGCCACCGGTACCAATGGGAGAGGACAGGGGAAACGTGGGATGATGACAACTGGGGACTGGGCCATGGAGGGAGACAGTGTTTGCCCGCGGGCTCGGGATAGAAGCCAAGGAGCACTGAGTGCATGAGTCACTACCTGGCCACCTGTGCACCAGCCCTCACCTTTGCCCCATAGGAGGGAAGCCCTGAACCCTCTAGAAGGAAAGCGTGGTCTCAGGTGATACCCCACACAGAGAGCAGATGCAGGGGTGTCAGCAAAGAGGAACAGCCCAGGCAGCAAGAGTCAAAAAGGAAAGGGAAGGGGACACAATGCCAGACTGCAGGCCCAAGCTGGCCACCGCTGAGCTAAGTGGAGTCTGTCCCACTGGGATCTAATTCTCTTATCTCTCCCACCCAGAGACCCAAGAGGGGAACGCATTTTTCCATCCGTTTCTGTCCTCCATGGGTCACAGGTTGTCCTCACAAGGCAGTAACCCCCTGCTCTTCTCTTCCAGGCTATGCATGCGAGAGTGCCAAGTGGGTGCCCGCAGGCATCCCACACCATGCCAACCCCAGGGCAGGAAGGCAGGGACATGGGGCCTGGGCCACAGATTCTCCCAGTGCACAGCTGTGCAATCACTGTGTTCAGTGAACAGATAACCTGCACAAGTGGTCGGGCATGTTTGAGTGAATTTGAAAACTGGAACATTCACTAATCACAGATTAAATCTGACCCCATCTGCTGTTGGACAGCAATCTTTGTGTTTCTACCTGAACTACTGACATTCTAGCACAATTTTATTTAGCAAGCATTCACATGGCACCTATAGAATACACCAGGCTAGGTGCTACAGGGTTGGAAAGATGAAGAGAGGAATAGCTCCCAATCTAGCTAGGAAACCAGCATGGAAACATATTCTCTTCGGTGTCACCCCTTACAGAGCCAGAGTTAGCGATATTTGGTGGTATTAGAGAAAGCTCATCAGTTCTCCCCTGAGAGGCGGGGAAGACTTCACTGAGGCAGTGTCACTTCACTGAACACTTCACTGAGGGAGGACTTCACTGAGGCAGGCAGGGAGGGCACCCAGGCAGGTGGACTGTGGTTAGTGTTCATTTGGATGCAAGCCCCATTCTTGGCTCAGCAGTTTTATTAAACTCTAAGGGCCAGGGCCAGATTTGGCCAACACCCAAAGAAGGAAATTTTAAGAGACTGAATGGGAGTCCCTGCAGGGGACCCATCCAGGCTCCAGCCTGGGCGGGTCGCCCGTGGGTCTCCATCTCGCCGCAGCACATCTCTGGTCCTTTGTAACGTGTCTGCCCCTGCGCCTCCTGAAAACACCTCCTGGTTGCCTTCTCCTCAG